CCTTTAAGCATGGAATTGATTATTGATGTCATTATAAGTACATAAATAATTATGCAACTTGTAAATTACTGTAGAAGTAATATACATGTAAATGGGTCACTAAAAGTATTAATTGCATCACATTTAATTATTCCAACTAGTGAGAATAGCATTAACTCAATAACAACAAGTAATCACAGGAAGAGTGTCTTCGTGAAATTAGTACATTGTACACCCTTATTCAACTTAATATTATATAACAAGCAATCACTACAAGCAATTCCTACGTATTTCAATTAGCTACGAAACCTTGATCTGCACACTAGGCAGTAAGTGATTTCCAAGATCCCAGGATCATAGTATCTTGGAGCTCCTATGCAGGATATGCCAGTGTTAATAAATTCAAGTAAACATATTTTGTTAGCGCAAATGCATTCAACAAATGCGACTTAAACCTGTTTTTAGTTGTTGCCCATGTTAAACCATTTAACCTCAACTAACAGATACAATAATGAGGGATGATGCATAATTTTTGCTCGATTTCCTGGGAACTTTGGCACACCATGACCTTTAACCTCACCCTCCCAATCCTAACCACAACAACATCCCCACCAGCTAACCCAAAATATCCAAAGAAATGCGACCCCCCACGTTTTGCTGAGTATCCCTCAACATTTATCGATTGCATGAAGCATTATTTAACAAAGGCCATTGTAGCCCATAAAAAGCGAGCAGAGGAGCAGAATGACGCAAAATCCAACCCAACAAAGGGCTGTCAAAATTGTCGATATTGTTAAGGTTGTGGTAAATATTTCTAGTCCTATGATTCATCCATTCAGCAGTGATCATTTCGTGAAGCTATCATTATAATCCATCATACTGTTATCATATTACGGTACTTTTCCGTTACCGTATATTGATGCTATCTTTTGCGCAGTAAATATACTGTACTACCATAAGTTTTGCAATAATTCATTAAATGTGATTTATCTAATAGTACTATGATGAGCAAAATTGTCAAGACAATGCACTTATTTCATCAGGGGTTGATATAATCGTTTAAAAATAATGTTAGTCACCTACAAATAATTGGAAATGAATGAAACAGAACGAATTATTTGGCAGAAGGAACGAAAAAAAAAATGAAAATAAGTTCGGCTTATTGAGTAGATTTTTTATAGGTACTCAAGAATTTATTATTATGGTGCAATTATAGGAGAGGTAATATTCATATTACTAATTATTTAACTGCTTTTTAAGAACAATATTTGTAATTCATCTGAAATTTCACTATTAATCATCTGATGCAAACCAAAATTCTAATCGTATTATGTATTGATTATGACACTATGTATTACATATTTATGTATGTATTAATTATGACACTCAAATTAACCAAAAATTAATGGATAATGATTCGTTCAGGAATTTTTCACATGTTGAGAATTCTTTGAATACTAATGATAAGCATAATAACGGCTTAGATCGGAAATTGGTATTTGTTAAACAATTATACATTTAGCACTTTCATTTGCTAAAAACAAATGCATTTGAAAAAATTTAAGAAATGAGATTAAATTTGAGAATGGGAAAATTGTGCAAAAAAAAAGTGGCTGTGAAACAAAATGACAAATGGAAGTGATTCGGCAAAAAAGAAGTTTAGACTAATTGGGCTTTTTTTTAATTCTAATAGATAAAAATAAAAGAAAACGGTAGAATTTATCATAATTTGTGTTTGCTTGAAATTAAATTTTGCTTTCTTTTGCTTAAATTTTTAAATGAAAGAATTTCACATTTTTGTAAATTAAGATTCAGAAAAAAGGGAGAGAGAAGAAAAGAGATATTTTCAAATATTTTCGAGTTTTTTTTTTGGATATATAAAAGAAAAGCAAATACATGCCTTATTCCTTTTCTTTTTTTTTTCACTTGAATATTTGATATAGAATTATTGCAGACATTATTATATTGAACAAATTTTTTTGAATTAATTAGTTTACAATAAAATTCATTAATTGGTTAATTCGAAGTAAAATTTTACATATCTATTCCAGTTTATTGTAATTAATAAATCTAATTAACATTATAACTGATGATAAATTATCAATCATGAATTGATTATCAGTTCAGTTCAAATTGAACCAGATGACCTTCCCATTTGACTTTTGAAATTTTGATTGAACAAATCAAATTTCAATAAATCAGCTGTTTTACTCATTTCTTTTTTCATCAATAGCCAAATTACGTCGTCGATCAATCTCTCCAATGTTTCGTTTTATCTCTGCCAAATATTCCTTCTCACATTCATTGATCATTTCTCTTTTATTGTTGCATTTTGTTGCACTCGACAAGCACATATAATATTCCAGCTAAATTAATATTAAAAAAAAAAAATACCGAGAGTTGGAAAAAAAGATTGTAGCATTGAAAGATAGCAAATTATTGATTGATAGCAATAGTAATACAAATATTTGAAATAGAAATTGATTAGTTATTTCTAAACAAACCTCCAAATCACTTTCAAATTCTCGACAGTATTCTTCAGCATATGTTCGCATTATACAGGCCGGAAAATTTATGCTATAATGAATTAAAGATTTTTGCAGTTTTAAAATATCTGGAATTAATTGGAAATTGCTATTTTATGCTGTAACATTTCTGGACATTCCGGAATGGTACACATTCCGGGCAATAATTTTGATAGTACTTGCAAAATTTGATTGTATTTGGTATGTTCACAACATTTATTTATTCATCCATTTTTGGTCATCCATTCAATGCAACCGGAATTGCTACAATTTGTCAATGATTGGTAAGGTATAACCCTTAATTGGCCAATAACCAATACAGACGGAACTGATAGAATTACTACTAAGTGATACTGTCTTACTTTAACCGGCCATCAATCAATTAGTGCAACCGGATTTGATGCATTTTATTAGCGGATGAAAATGAAAGTAATAACAGTATAAGCTTAACATTGGGTAACGATATGTTCAATGCTACCGTAGTTTTATTATTGACTGTTACAGTAACTCCATTTATTTTGCAGTATTTCAACTTGACATACTCGCATATTCCTTTCTGAGGATTCCATTTGGTAATATTATAGCATTGTTTTTGTATTTCATGACATAAAATATGCTTCATTGCTCTACTGATCAATTGTTTCAGGAAAACCGAAATCCATCGCATTCCGGATTTAGCGCAATCTTCTGTAAACATTTTCTGTAATATATTCTATTGCATATAAATTAAAAATTCACTGAATGAAACGATTGAATGCAATACTAACCAATTACAGGTGTGATTCGTTCCAGAAATTCACCATAGCCTGGTTCATCGATGCAATTTGATGAAACTACCAATTCGGTCATACATTCAATTGCGAAATATCTAAATTGAAATTTAAAAGTTTAATCAGAAAATTTGAAACCTTAATTACGAAATTCAAAACTTTTACTAATTTTTTAATTTTAAATAATCTCCTAACTCCAATTAATTTTTTAACGTTAAATGACAACTGAAGGTACAGAACGACAGTGAAGTAACGATATTATATGGTATAATTGATACGGGATATATCAATTCTGGAAATGAAATGATGAGTAAAAAACAGTTAATTTCGAAAATTGAAATTAATTGGTTGGGAATAAAAAATTTTGTTTACATAAATTAATCTTAATTATTCGATGCAAATGCTACCATACGATTTTATCCAATGTATTTTAATGAAAATTGAAAAACTAATAACTTGATTTTTTTTTCTTTTTTGCAAAACGTATTAATAGGTAATAGAAATTTTAAAAAACATGATAAAATTAACTGCATTTTTTGAATTAAATAAGAACAAATATTATTAAAAATTAAATAATATTAAAAATATTAATGAAAAAACAAAAAATTAAAGTAAAAAATTTTAAAAAGATAGAATTAATCTAAAATTAAATAGTATTAAGAATATTAATAAAAAAATAAGAAGATGAGAAAAACTAAAATATTAAAAAATATTCTTAATGAGGTAAATGATTGCGTTTGAAATTATCCAGTACTTTTTTCTATTTCTTTTAAAACTTAAATTTAATTAAATTTTAAAATATCTGGTTGGTAATAATCTTATTATGGCAATTCAAATCATTCAATCTGTTTCAATTCTTAATATTATGAGAATTTTTGAAAAATCTCTAATTCATTTACTACTAGAATTAATGATGATTCATTTGAATTGCAAAACGATTTGCTACAAAACTTTCAAGATATATCACCCGGTATAATGCCCGGTAAACAGTAATATGCGGGAAGATTTTGTAAAATTTATTGTGTAACAAACTCTTCTTCCTATTAAAAAAACTTCCGAATTGAATTTCTCTTGGAAAGTTTAATAAAAAATAAAAAGAAAAATGCCAAAGGTTCATTACTCTTCGCATAATCCAACAGGTGGAATAAATGGAATCGTATTCCAATGATTGGTGCAATTTACAACCGCTTCATGACATTTATCACTGGTAATATCTTTAACAGAATTTTCTTATTTTTTTTTTTAATTTTATTTTCATATTTCAATATTATTTGAAAAGTAAATTTACATTTTTTTTACAGTTACATTTTGATTGACATTATCAGCATAACTATTTGCTGAATGATAAATCTTTAAAATAATTCCAATTTCGTTCTTTTTTTTATTTTAATTTAACAGGTTGTTAAGATGAATGAACAATGGGAGATTAAAAGAATACTTCATTTGTTAAATTAAAGTACGACAGGTAAGTAATTTGTATTCGCAAAAAAACTTGGACTGTAGAAATTTCATCTTTATTTATGAAAATTTCGATGTAGAACACTTTTTTTTCAGATTTAAATCTAGAATAGTTACAGTTTTAAATAATCTTTTAGAAAATTCTAATTTAAAAGAGTATTTTCGCTTTTTGAAAAATTATTTTGTAGTGACGAATTTTAAGTACCACTTGAATCATCCAATTTTCCTTACTCTTAAATTTATATTTTGAATTTCACATAATGTGCAAAATGTTGAACGACTGTAACATATTTCGTTAATAGGAAAAGTTCAATTCTTTTACTGATCAAAAATCAATGGAAATAAGGAAAAAGGTGATCAAACATTAGATGAGATGGAAATATTCGCGAATTCAACAATTTATGGGTGAATTTTTTCGCGGATTATTTCTCTGCCAAAAAATAAAGTACCTATGCGAGATCCTTTTATTTACTCGTGGAAATCCTCTACCCGTGGAAATCCTAGTGCCCCTTCTATCCGTGGGAAATCCTTTTGTTTTCTTTCCTAATAAAATGACCAAAAATTTGAGAATGGGAAATATTTGAAAAATAGAACGAATCATTCATTTTCAAAATTGATGCTTGAAACTTACATTGATTAATATTTTGCTCAAAAAAATTCATGCCATATATCATCGCAAGGCTAGTAATTGACAATAACGCAATTATCGATTGACGACATGACAACGTTATGGTCATTTGTTTCTTATCAGTTTTTTTTTTTTTTCTCTTTTAGTTCCTTTTTTCCTGTCCCAGCTTCCGTAAGAATTGCAGCAACGATAGCCTTTGTGAAAGAATAATGAAAATAATTCGGACAAGCCGTACATGAGCTACTTTTATTGTATTTCCCAAGAGTAATTATGCAAATTGCAGACATAATTAAACTTTCATACGATTGAAATCATTTCAAGATTGTAAAAATGTTAATTTTAGAAAAATTTTAGAATTTTTGTGCAGTATTTTAGAAATTAATTGGCTTAAATTTGTAAATAAAGAAAAGAAAGGAAAAGACCGAAGTGTACAGGGAGCTTTATTTGGCAACTATTGCTATCATTGTAACTTTTAAAATAATGGATTAGTTGATACTGGGTAAAACATTAATTAGAAATTTGTCCTTATGATTAGATTCGTGTTTTAGTCAGTACTAGCAAATCAAAATTATCATCAAATGGTATTAGTGAATCAAGATTATCCACACGTGATTTTACTATTAGTAAATCAAGATTATCACCAAATGATTCCGTTATTAGTGGATCAAGGTCATCAGCAGATGATTCCCGTATTAGTGAATCTCGATTACCAATAGATGATAAAATAGCATGCGAACATTGGTCAGTAGAAGTTAATTTACGTATCTCATTTAACATTGTTACAGGAAATAGATGATAATGATGACGATAGTGCTCATATAAGTTACTGCTCGTATATGTTGTCGGAAAAAACCGAAGAAAATTGTAATGCGTAATACGTCCAAATAGCTAAAGAATTTGTTGCAAAAAACATTTCCGTCATCACATTATATAACAAATATATATTACCTTTTTTCTATATCTAAAGTGATGAGTCTGTTATCTGAATCATGTAAAAATGTCTTCTCCTTTCATATTGAAATTGCACACATCCGCTAATTTACATAACTAACTAATTTACATATAAACTGTGAGAAAGTTGTGGTTTGGTAAGATGATTGACAGCAATTTCCTCTCCAAATTTAAAGAAATTTAATTTTTTATGTAATTTTCTCTTTCAAACTGCTATTCTCTTATCGTAAGCCCAACCCACTTATGGGCAATATAAAAGCGCCGCTCATTCCTGGTCGCAAATCAAATCAGCGCCCACTTCGTCTCGCTCGACTTAACTTTTAACTGTCCGTTTAAATTGACAAACGGTCGATTCCGTCCTCTCATTTCATCATCAATTACTATTGTATTATAATAGTGGCTACACTTTTACTACTGAATAAACCTTTCCCTTGCTGTTCAACACATAAAAACGAAACTTTCCCAACAATGTTTTGGTGCCACGAGCTGGGATGCCATGACGACAGGCTTAACGAAAAGCGCGCAACCCGCAATAACATAGCTAATTAAACTCTTGTATGAAGTACGAAATCTGGATTTGTCGCCACCGAATCAGCTACTGCCGTTAGAAGAATTATGCCAAAAATATGAAGTCAAAAGAAGAATAATCGAAGAAAAACTACGACGCTTCGAAATACATTAGTTATTTGGAATCAGTCAATACAAAGTGGTTGGATCATATCAGTACGATAGTTATTTCACAAAAAAGGAAGGATGAAGGGAAATACCCCAAATAGTCGATGATGAAAAGGGTATTTTAAATTTAGTAATTGAAGCTATTGTTATATTAGATATGTATGAGAAGGATTTTGAATCAATAATTGAACAAACGAAAAAATTACCCAAAAAATCGATTCAGCAAGCCAAAATCGAAATGCAAGCGAAACCGCTTCTTTATCAATAATAAATATGTCGCAATTACCGCTGCCAATTGTCGGAAAAACTCCGAAAGTCATGACGCGAAATTGCAGCAATAAAAAGAAGGTCCTGAGCGCCAAATCATTTTCGCAAGATGTGTTGCAACAGGTCGGTTGGGAAGACGATAGCGGGCGTCATTTGGTCTTTGGTCCCCCTTTTGTTCATATTGATATTGCAATTGTTGGATTCGTTTCTGCATTGCCGAGTTTTGAGGAATAAAGGTTTAATTAGTCGAGTTTGAGATTGAGAAATTCGATGATGCCTATTCAGCGGAGACCCCAAAAAATGGAGAGTATTATGGAGCAGTTTTGAAACTGCTGTACATTCTCAAAATTCCAGATATGCAAAAATCAAATTATCTATTCTCCTGTTTGAGGGGAGAAGCGTTAAAGACCGTGAGAGGTTATGATATTGCATCAAGAAATCACCAAGTTATAAGGAAGGTCTTAGTTGAAAATTTTGGGGAAACTTTTACTATTAAGAAGTCTCTTTATAACGAACTACATGCGGTCAAAAGGTATGGTCGAGACTAGAAATCAACAGTCGAAGCAATCGAAAGAATTCTTCGTCAACTAGAAGCTATCGGAGAAAATTTCGAACACTCGAGTATTGAAACTGTTATTGAAAGTAAACTACCAGGATAGATATTGGACAAAGTATGTCAGCAAAAGGATGACGACGACACCTGGTCAGTTACAAAACTTCGATAGTTCCTCGGAAGACTAGTAAAAAGAAATGACCAAGTAACCAGAAGTCAAGCCTCAAGCACCAACGGCGAACGACAGTTGACCAAGTTCAAACCCAAACGTTTGCAATGAAGTGTCTAAAAAGAAACTACATCATTGGCAACGATCAGTCAATCTAGATCAGATGAGTTTAAGAATATTTCAAACTTGTCTATAAAGAAAGGGTTAGATAGAAACAGTAAAAGAAGACCTTGCTCGTTTTGTGACAAAGATCATTGGGATAATGAGTATAAAATTTATTCTACCTTCAAGCAAAGATTAGGATGCCTAATTAGGAATTAAAACCTGTTAGAAATGTCTCAAAGGGGGACACACAGAAAGCGAGTACAAAAAATCGGTAAAATGTTTTTATTAGAAAAGGCCACACAATAGCGCACTCTGTGACAACAGACGTCAACAACTGTAGCAAGCTGGACATATACCCATGCAAGGAAGAGGAATTGTCGGGAAACCCGAAAGAAATTGCAGTGTATTCAAGCAGTTAAAGAATTTGTATCTTAATACAACGCTTACATTTACGGTATAACAGATTACATTTACAGTATAACACATATCGCATTACACAAAATATGAAACAATTTCCCACATCTGAAGTGATGAGTCAGTTATTTAAGCTTCAAATCTTCCAATAATGCCCTTTGTCTGATGTTAAGCTTGTTTACGTTTGGTATCTAAATTATACAAAACTCTTTGTCTTTATGTTTAAATCTTTGTATGCGTCTGTGTGTTATCGTAAGCTTTAACATACTCATGGGCAATATAAAAGCTCCGATAACGGATTCTCGAGGCTCGAGAAAAATCTTTATCGATATTATATCAGCGCCACATCTGTCTCTCCAACCATTCGCATTCAAATTCACTGAATTGCTAATCATTGCATCCTCTATTTTTTTTGTTGTAATACTGCATTGTTCTCGTTACTATAATTCTATTATTCAATAAACTTTCCACTTGTGACTCATCGCATGAGGAAAAAAAAACGAAATTTTCCCGATATATATGATATGATACACGCACGTCAATTACGTATATACCCATTAATGACTTCTGACCTCTTGTTATTTTTGTGATATATTCTAATAAACATATTGAAATGTTTTCGACGAACAAATCGTCAGCAACATCGTTGTGTGACGATTTCGATAATTTTTTCATAAGTTCGACATATGTGAAGAAGTGATTCGTTTATGCAAGACATGTATGTCTTGCATATGATGCATCCAGGTGTTATATTTATCATTTTAATGAAGCATTCATGTCAATTGAATTACTCAATTGTAGTATTATGATATATCAAATGCATCGATATGAATTATTTTTTCGCGAGAGATTTCTCGATTCGTGCTATCATTGGATCAAGATATTTGTCGTAGATAACTTGGGCACCATAAGTTTGTGGTAATGATAAATATAATAAGAATATCACCTGAAAATAATATATTTCAATTTAAATTAGTTTTTTTCTTCATGAGCGAAGGATGTAATTTCTGCAATTAAAATAAGAAAAGTAAATGAATTGAGCAAAATTTAAATCGAATTACAGGAATAATTAAGTATTGCTGATGATGTGAGAGATATTTTCACAGTTATTAAATACAGTTTTGTTATGTTAGTCATTGTAAATAAAAGAAAGCATGAAATGAGTTTTAATTAAATTTAAATGGTTAAAACTTGGTAATAGAATTTGAAAATAAAAATGATTTGAAAAAAAAGAAAATTTACCTTAATTATCCAGTACAACGGTACCACACGCATAATTGCTTCGGCGAAAAAATCGATCAGTGAATAGAATGCAAATACGGTCCAATAAATTAACCAGTGCGTATCATCATCCTTTTGCTCCGTTCGAATTGCCTAAAATGGCGTAGGAATTTTAAAACTCAAACACAAATAAAGAAGGTCAAATAGTTAAACGTTTTAAAAAGGTTCAATCTTGGATAACTAATTAATAATAGCTTATTTTAAGCTTTTAAGTAGCAGAAACTTTAAAGTAACAAAAAAAATTACTTATCTATCAATTGCTAACACTTATCATTTAATCTGGAAATAACCTTATCACTGTCCGAATTTATTAAATCACAAGTAAGCAAATAAGATTGTAACACTTTTATCCTAATTCTTGTCCCAATTAACGTAATTATCCCTATCATCCAAAAATCTTGTCTATAAGCTTTTTCATTACTTACCTTAACAGAAGCATAAGCTGGATAACCAAAACCGATAAGATTACAGACAAGTTGTGCCAGTGATCCAAAAATCAGATAAATGGCAACAATGCTCATCATGCCATATGTTAGCTTAATAAATTAATTTTATAGCAAAAAAAAAAAAAAAAAGAAGAGAGTTTGGGAGAGAAATAGAGGAAGGGATTTTTTGCTTCTATTTATTTTTATAATTTTAGTAAATATTCGCAAAACTTTAGGAAATTAGGTGAAATGATCAGAAGTGAATTTACGTTAGTCATTTGAAATTTATAAATCCGTTCCGTTTTTGTTTCATTTGTTTTTTTTATTTTGTTAACAAACATTAAAAGTTACATCCACTTCTTCCTGCTTTATTTCATTCATTTATTAAATTATTCAATCAGTTCCGTTCCGTCCTATTTTTATTTCATCCGTTACTAAAATTCGTTCCATTCCTTTCTACTTCTTCCATTACTGTTAATTTGTTTTTCATTCCGTTCCGTTTTTGTTTTTCTGTTAGTATAAATTTGTTCCGTTCCGTCTCGTTTCTGTTTCTCTCGCTGTTATAAATTGGTTCCGTTCCGTCCTGCTTTTATTCCTCTTCCGTTATTATAAATAAGCTGCGTACCGTTTTGTTTCATCTACTGGTTAACCATTCGAATATTCAAAAAATTTTGGGAATTCTTTACTTGTTCACGTGGCAATTGAGTTTTAGCCTCCAGTAATGACAGTAGTTTATTCAACTCCACGTTATTTTTGTCATAGAGGAAGCTTTTAAGTGCCGGTACCAAATCACTGAATGAATGTATCGTAGCTTTATCAGTACCTTTTAACTTACTACCTCTACTACCTCCAACTGCACCGCCACCACCACTTCCTGACGGTGGTACTGTCAAACTCATTGAAGTTGTTTGACCTGGAAGCGAGGAAATAAATGATGCTTTTAATATAAAGTGAATTACATTGAAATAAGTTATTAACCGACGATCGCAATGAAAAATCACGATTATAATCATAATCATAATCATAATATAATTTTTAAAGATTTTCAATAAAATTCTACATAGCTCTCAATAATTAAATGTTAATTTTCGGTATTTTTGATCAACGTACAATAATTTGAAAAATTTAAGAAAACTCTAGATTTTTCGAAGTGAATGGTTAATTTAGTTGGCATATTTCTCGCTTTTTTTTTACAGCTAAATCTTAAATGTTCAATAATTTTCAGTTCAAATAAATCTATTACAATGAACAATTTAACAGTTTGAAATAACCGGAATCACCTTAGCTCGAAAAAATGAACCCAATTGTAACCAAAAGAATATATCAGCAACAGCTGAGTCGTATGCACAACTGTATTTTACCAATTAGTAAATTGTTAATGATGTTGCAAACAGCTTTGCGACATTTATATTGAGATGTGCTACTTTTTATGCAAATTAAAAAAAAAGAAATACTTGGATTACAGTTTTTGAAGAATTTGAAATTAGTTTTGGCAGCTTATGGTCTACTGGTTGAATTTATCAATGAATAAACAATGTTGATTTTGATGAAATTTCATCCAGTGGTTTATTTTTAATTAATTAAAACAAATTTTTTAATTTAAAAAAATTTTTTCTACAACGACAGTGTGACTTTACCAAGGAAAGAATTGAAAGTAAAAATTTTTACTTTTATTGAAAAACATTTTTCAACTTGTAACAAATAATCGTTTAAAGTAAGCAAAGTAATAGTAGGATTAATAGCAGTAGTAATGACAGTAATGGTTATAGCAAAAGTAATTAAATAAATAGTAATCAATATAGCAAAAGTAGTAATTAAATAAGTGGCAATTAATAACTGCTATTGTTATATGTGACGATAAACTAAGTAAATTAATACAATTTGTATAAACAGTCATTTCGAAATATACCAACTGATAATATTAAAAAAAAAAAAAAAAAAAAGAATTCACAGCAATGATGAATTACAGTAAATGCTTAAATTAATACTTTGATAGTAAATGCTCGGATTTAATATTTGATTACAATAATACGATAAAATATTTCAAACGTTTATTATTACGATAAAAGTGAATGATTCTACCGTGATATACAAGATATCATAATAAGTCTTTGATTAAATCTATCAAAAGACTGAGCTTATCAAGAGGTAGAATGAAAAAAATGTATAATGAAACTATTAAATACCATTGCTAATTAAAGATGAAATTAAAAAAAAAGTGTTAGGAAAAAGAAAGGTATAGAAAAATTCTTTAGGATTTTGAAGAAAACCTAATAGAAAATAACAAATGTTCAAATTTCATGCAAAGATTTGAAAAAAAAAAGGTTAATTATTTTATATTTTGAAAAAAAAAAAACAATTTTTCAAAGCTAAAAAGAATGGTTTTTTTTTTTTAGAAACACAAATTTCTGAAATTAAATTGACAAAATAAAGGAAGTATGGAATAGAAATAAAAAGTATACAATGCGATGAATATGGCGAATAAATTATTTTCAAAAAATTTCACAAATCAAAGAAATTATCTTATTTTCGTTTTTTCGAGCTACCTCTCACAATTGAATAGCATAAATTACCGGCACCACATGCATAACCTGCCGGACATTGATTATTGACGCAAGGACCTGAAAAAATATGGCATGATAAAGTTATTTTTAAATATTTGAAGAAAATTAAATTAAAATTTTATTTTAGGCCATTTTATTAATAGGCAATTTTAGAATTTTATGCAAAATGATTAGGTTAAAAAAGTTAACCAACTTATTACCGATAATTATTTCAAATTTATCATGGTGAAAGAAAGTGAAATAATTTATGCGAAAAAAGAAGGGGAAAAAAAGAGAAAACGATATAAATAGTACCAAGTACGGAACCAGAACCAAGTGGACAACAGTAATAATTGGAATTGCATGAGTAGCCAGTTGGACATATACCATTGATGCACGGACCTGGAGAGAAGTTTTTTTTTTCATAATTTCAAAATTTTTTCCTAAGAAATAACAAAATTTGGTAAAGATAAGTTAGTAAAATTCATTCAATTATGCTGATTAAACTAGACACTTTATAATTAGGAACTTTTTCTTAATCTCATTTGATTTCTCTTTTAATTTCCAAAAGTTTTTTTCAAGTTTTTTTTTTGGGTTCCTTCTTTAAGTTTTTTTCTTGATTTAGTGATCAACAAATATTTACAGTACATATCAACTAATTTTATTAAGATAATTTAAGCAATTACTCGATTCCGTAGTGCTATTGCATTGGGTTTATTCATTGCTTTCAATGAATAACCTATCATAAAAATTAGCCGTTCGGAAGTTTTTTAGAACTTAATTAAATGAATTAATGGTGTTTAATTAATTCTATTCTCCTAATTAGAAGTGGATCATTAAAATTGTTATGATTTTCCATCCTTTTTCCTGCTTCTCTTTCTTTCCTTTTGTTTTTAAAAGATATTATCATCCTCCAACTTATTTATTACCGGTAGAATTTCCGGTAGCACATCGACAACAAAAACCCCGCTTGTTACAAACGAAGCCTTGTCCACAAAGCCCATTGATACAAGCAGCTACTGCTGGTCCTCCGTCGCATGCTGCTGAAAATACCACAATACTAACTTTTTTTCCCGTTCTCTTCATACAATTTCATCACTTAAACTAAGTAAAAATTATCATTACAAATTGCTATAAATTAAATTGAACCAATAAACAAATTAATTAATTAAATTAGCATAAATTAAACGAATCAATGTAATAAATGAATTATAAAGTTGTTATAAATAATAAATTATTACTATCCAAATGTTGCCATCTAATTTGTTGCTACAACACAAAAAGTCATAATGTTATCGAACAAATAAGAAGCACTTTGAATATGACAAATCCGGAAAACCGGAAAATTACAATTGAAATGAAAAAAGGAATGATGAATGGTAAAAAAAAAGGCAGCTGCAAATTTTTTCCGCAAGATTTTTTTCATTTTTTAACAATTACAGCATTGGATTGAAATATGAATTTAAGAAGAACTTACTTAAAAGACTGAAAATATTTAATTGGTTTGGTGGTTTGATTGGTACTGGAATTGGGATAATATTAATGCTGCCAGGAGTGAAGATTGGATGAACATTATTTGTTGGAACTGTAGCTGGACAACAGCATGCATGAATGCATACCATCCGAGGCGCAATTTGTTGACATTGTGAGTTGGCGTAACAACTTGGAAAACATCCTGATGGACAATTTTGCATGTATTGTCGTTTAAATCGATTTAAAACTAAAAATGAACTTTAAATTGTTGTATTAAAATAAAATTTAACAATAAAACTTATACAATTTTTTTCTTTTTTTAACAATATGATCTTTTGTCTAAAAATGCTTTAAAATTACATTTATTGAAATTATTCATTTAACAAAGTTTGACAATAATTAATGCCATAATTGTCTCAATCTTAAAAGATTTTAACATTCTAATAAATTTGCCCCTTTAATTAATTTATTGAATTATGCTATAGATCAATCATAGTTAAATTAAATTACATAGATTTAACTCTCGATTATCGTTTCGAAATTTTTTTGCAATCATTTCTTATCACAATTCTGCATTTAATTTAATGTTTCATTTACATCACAATTAATTATTTGATTGATAAATGAAAATTTTCAGGAAAATAATTTAATTAATTTAATTTACATGAAATATTTCCATTTTCATGATTGATTGGATCATTTAATATCACTTCATTTGTGATAGTTTCAGTTGAAATATTAACTGTCATCAAGAGGAATATCGCAACACAGAATGTGATCGCCAAATTTACTCCAATTTGATACATTTCTTTTCCTGTTCACTTAAAAAATTCCTTTTAAAAAGGAAAAATTAGTAGTTTCATATCAACAAATGTGATTTTAAGTAAAAGACAAATGCGCAAGAAAAAACGTTCAATGAAATTTTAATCCAATAAACATTGTAACTTATGGTAGCTATGAAAGAATTTTGTCACTGTGGTCATTTAATTATTTCAATTAGCACTTTTTTTTTCTAGCCAAATCATCACATTAATTTTCAGCAATTTCTCTAGCTATTATTCATTACAATATCATACAGTTGTCAGTTTTTATGTACAAATTTATCCTCCTGAATTGAAATGCACTGTAGCAGGATAAGTGTACTGTAGTAGGACAAATTACTGTAACAGGATAAGTGCACTGTAGCGGGATAAACGTATTGTAACAAGATAAATATACCACAGCAAGACAAATGTACAGTAACCATAATCAGTCTTTTTCAACTTTAAATTATATCTTTCCTTATTACATTTCATAAATTCTTTGGACATATGCTTTTGCACAATTGTCTTGTTTATTGATAAAAATTTTTTTGTTTTTTTTGCTAAAAAATAATTGAAAAAAATTCTTTTTTCGTTTTTTTTGCTTTTTATTTTTATTTAAATTACCATCGTATCGTAAAATATTTTTTGTTTTATTGTCATCTATTCTGATTGAGTTGTTATTACCGTATCATCAATTATTCCTCATTTTCATTTCGGAAATATTTCAAACAAGTGTTTAATAAACGAAATATTAATGGTAGAATTAAAATTAAAAATTTTTTTATCATAGTATTCATTAAATTTGGAAAACAATAAGTATTTTAATATATTTCTATACATCAAAAATATAATATTATTTCATTCATTGAATGGAACATTTGCGCATAATTTGAAGAGAAAACAGTTAGGAAATGAAATTTGCTAATTTGAATTAAATGTTATTTATTGTCTATTAACTGAATGAATTATTTATTCTTACAAGAATGAATACATTTTTTTGTATTGCATTTAATAAAATAACAATCAATGGTAACGATGATGATGAAAATGGTACTTATCCCAAACTCAAATCAAACTTCTTCACTAATCTTTCATTTCATACTTTTCTCTCTCCCTCTCTCTCTCCCTTTCACTTTTAAAACTGGACAATTTATTGAACTTGTTTATTGAGCATTTAAGAAGACGTGACATATCGTAATCATTTAAAGCTAATAAAAACGTCACCATCATTTACTACACTTTCATCAACTACAACAGACTAAATCATCGTATATATATATGTACATACACATCCCATTATTTTATCATTTTTTTTCTTTGGTTTCATTTTAATTTTCTTAATTATTAATTATTAATATAGCATTTTGTTTGTAACAATAAACGTTCTTTAACAATAAAATTTAGTAAGTTATTCTTTTTTTCATTGTTTAATTTAATTTCATACAATTAAAGTAAAACTTGTCGGAAATAATTTATCAAAAAAAAAATCGAGCATAATAAAAAAAAGAAGGAAGAGTAAGGGAGAGAAAAATAATTTGAAATGAAATGAAATAAAAAATGGGATGAATAAAGAAGTTATAAATGCAAATAAAATGAATTTAAAAAGTGATGGAATGAAATGGAAATAAATATTAAATAAAATAAAATAAAATAGAAACAAAAAATAATTGAGTGCCGAGAATGCACTAAACAATTTGGTTTTTTTGTAAATAAAAGGATTAAAAGTTTTTTCGAAAAATTTTTGTTGTTATTTTGAATTAAGACAGAAATAATACAATCATGATTAGAATCGATTTAATTTCTTTTTTTTGTACTGAATTTGATATTAATTAAGTAAGTACAAAAATATTATTTTTGCTGCTATTCACTACTATTTACTCATTTGATTTATTTACCTGCTCCTATTCTTTCCTTTATTTTTGGCTTAAAATTTTAAATGATAAATAATAATTGAATGCTAGAACTAATAAGCTATGAATTTTCACTTTTATCATTTATTATAACGATAAGGTAAGAGAGAGAAAAGTGTTTAAAAATTCGGTAAGGTTGAAAAAGATAAGCAAAGGTAATTAATATAATATGTTAGAGAATAGGTGAGATTTCCTTTTAAATGAAATTTTTAAAACCATTTTAAAATGAAAAATGCTAAATAAACTTAAATTTCAACAAAATTATCGATTTAAAATTGATGAATACAAATTAGCTAAATTTGAACAGATATATTTGACATGGAAAGATATTATAAGTTATAATAAATTTGACGAATGAATATCGCCAAAAGCGAAAGATGACAAGAGCAAAAGAAAATACAGAATACCTGATGATAAATGATTTGTGTATTATCAGATAAGGACAGAAAGACTTATTTATTGAATATCTTCGAGCAACTTCAATTTAATTGTCCAAAATATACATTTCAAATTTGTCGTCAACTATCACAAAACTATTTTCACTATGTCAGCTAGAGCAACTTTTTCCTCTATCTAAATTGATTAATCAAGTAATTAATTGGCATAGTTATTGGCATTTAATTAGCTGCTATATAGTAATAGCACAGTGGCCAAAAATGGTGAAAAGATTATGAATAAAAGCAATTTTATTTTTCTATCGTAAGATAAATATGAATGATCATTGTAATATACTGGGAAATACTTTAAACGGATGAATAAATGAAAGAAATGGAATACTTGAAAAAATAATAAACGAAATACTTTTAATACTTTAAATGAAATAAAAGTCATTCCAAATGGAACTTTCAAGTACTTTCAAATATCATTCTTTCTGCTCCTAAATTTTGACTAAATCAAAAATTTGAATTTTTAGAAATAATTAAAAATTTGAAAAAACGAAATATTCGAAAATTTCATTTTAAAGACATGAATGAATGTTAATTTTTATGCTATTTATTAGAAAAAATTTCTCAAAATTCCAATTTTAATTAATTAAAAACTAAAAGACTTGAAAATTTTTATTTGAAATAATAAATTTTTGCAAACAAATAAAATGAATGATTGAATGAATGAAAATGGAATTACAAAATGAAGTGTAGGATTGGATGAAGTGCTATATGTACACATTGCTTAAAATTTGACAACATACCAATGAAACTAGTAGTTAGATAGAAATTTACTTTAAGATTATTGAAGAACCTGTTTTTGTGCTTACTCGAACTCAAACAACTTGAATTATACGATCCAGAAAAGGTTGACAATGCATACCATTCTCTGTTACTAAAATTGAAACCATTGAAAGATATGGTACATACCGTAAACATACACACGCACATATACATATACACTTACATATATACATATATGTATATATATTTCGAATATATTGGTATAAATACATATACTAACACTAAATGTATTAAGAGGACAGACAAGATTGACAGATAGACAGACAGACAGACAGACAGACGATTGGCTAATGAACTTTTATTAATTAATTATCTTTGCATCACATTATTTTTGTTTATTGGCTTATCATTTTATCATATTATATAATAATTTTTTTTTTTATTCGTTGAACTTTCATTGAAATTCCAATTCTCAATGAATGGAATTTTTGCATTTATTTTGGCTATTATGAAAATTTCATTTATAAAAAAAAAAAAATTAATTGAAATTATCAATTGATCAATCAATCAATCAATCAATCAATCAATCAATTAAACAATCATTTATCAATTTAAATCAGTTGCAAAATTAAACATTACGATTTCAATCATTGATAATGATTGAAATTGTTAATTTTTGCTCATAATATTTCTTATTAATACAAAAATTATATTAACAATGTTAAATGTTTATGATCTGTAAAAGATTTTTGATACTGTAAAAAGTTATATCTTTATGAAATGATGAAGAAAAACAAATATATCAAAAAGATGAAAGACTTTTCCGATAATTATTTAATGTAATTAACAAAATTTGCTTATTATAAAACATTAATATAAATGAATGTTATCTTGCAAAAATTTTAAAATTTATTGACCAAATGTAAACATTCCATTTGAAAATAAACATTACTTTTCGTCCATTCATCAACACCTTTTAATCTATTTACCAAACAGACGACACATTACCATTACTAATTCTCTTATACTAACTCATCTTTTGACTTTTTTTTTCTTGTTTCATTGATAATGCGATGTTATCAACCGGAATCCTAAATTGCATCCTGACGTTATCTGGTAACTTCAGAATATCCTCTTGTATTATTATTTGAATTTTTAAAATCACTTCCTGATATTGTCCAATAGCTATATCAGTGTTATGCAAACATTATAATTGTAAGACAAATAAAAACTTCGCATCATAACTAATTGTATTTTTATTCCAAACTTAACAGTAATATCAATAATGATAATAACAAATAATGAACAATTAATTAATTAAATAGTTAATGAATAATAATAAATAATAGTTTACATCGATCGATTGTAAACTAATAACAGATAATAAATAATTAATTAATTAAACAGTTAATTAATAATGATAAATAATAGTTTACATCGATTGATTGTAAACATTTTTGAAAGGAATGAATTTTGTTTTGTAATTTTAAAATTTTGTTGAAAATAAGATTGTTTACATAATATAAATCAGTAAATATTCAACAATAAAGCGCAAATTGAATCCAACGAGAAGTTATATGCAAATTCCTAAAGTGTAAAAATATTTGTAAATGTAATTATCGATTAGACTAACAATTTCTTCAATAATTACTCTTTTCATATGAATACAACAAGTTTACATTCTTCATTTGTAGATCTTTTGATTAGAGAGTTAAGTGCATATATCTTTAAACAGATAAACTTTGTAGTAGTGTGTTTATTTATCAATATACATGTGTATTTATTTGTGTGTATATGTATGTGTATGTGGGTGTATGTGTATACATGTGTGTGTGTGTATGTGTGTGTGTATGTATGTACGTATGTATGTATGTATGTGTGTGTATGTGTGTGTATGTGTTTGTATGGCGTAACTTTATCACTTATCAATTTTTGCTCCTTTGAACTATTTTAATCTTTTTTTAAACTGCAATAGTTTGATGTTAGTGTATTGATTTTAATGGTTGTTGAAAAATTGTGCGTTCAAAAAATTCGATTTTTATTACTAATCAATTAATTTATTTATTTGTGAATAATTTTATTATGAAAAAAAGGAAAAAAACGAACAGGAAATTTTATTAATGCTTTAAACTTTCAAATCTTTTTACAACTCTATAGTTAAACAATAAATGATAAATTTTCCGAATCAATAATATATATCAGGAATTTTGATTAGTGATAAATATTAGGAACTGATAAACTGATAAATACTAATAAATTATGGAGAAAAAAATTCGCTTTTATCAAAGAGATGAGATAAAATTAATTTTTATTTTAAGCTATAAAAGAAATTAATTGGTTAATATTGGATCAGTGAAAGGAATAAAAGGAAAAAAAAGAAAAAGACGGAAGCATTTTTATCAATGCTTTCGAAATTTCAAACAAGTGATAAATTGAAAGCAAAGAAATTCTCTCGTAGAGCGATTGCTAATTTATTGATGAAAGATGTTGAATGGTAAGTTTTAAAAATTTAATTACAATAAGCATCTTGTAATCATATGCTTTCTATAACGCACTAATATTTTCCAATGTTTTTATCACTTATCAATCTTTGAACTGATAAATAGAAAAAATCAGTCCATTTTTTTTTTCTCTTTCTCAGATTACAAAATCTATCCCATTTGAAATAAGCATCGTATGAGAAATTTTTAGGATGCATATATCGGAAATTGTGATGTAATCAATATTTATTATATCATTTCATATTTTACAAATAAAATATTATAGTTATATTTTAAAATAATCAAATAATTATTGATTGAATAGAAAATTGAGGAAGGGCGAGAAGAGATTAGAGGTTAAAAGTTCACGGATGTGGCTTTTTATTGGTAAAGCGACTATGTAATCCTAGAAAATAAATAGTGCCGATGATTGCAGATTTTATTTTTCACCCCATTTAATTGATTAATTAATTAGTTTATCCTACTTAATATACCCGGTAATAGTCTCCATTTTCATTTGCTTAATCATTCAAAATTTCAACACTTTAAAAATCATCAAGTTATCGAAATGAATATTACTAATGATCAATAACTGATTTAGGGAGAAGGAAGTTTTCCTGACTGCCGGAAATATTAAATCCGAGAATCCGCGAAAGAATAGACGAAAGAGAGTAAAATGGCAAATGAATCCATTATATAAGGTTAGCATTCGGTTGAATTTCCCACTTCTCCATCTCAATTATTATTGTTTTTTTTCCCCCATTAATTAAAGTAATCGATATCGATTGCTATCATTGATTTATAGGCAAAATCAAGTAATATGGAAGAATCGGAATCAGAATCCATGACTTCATTATCATCACGACAATCATATATACATTCAGAGCAATCCATTGATAACGATTATAAAAGCAATATCGATGAAGGAAATGAAGTGCAAGAAAATATTTCCGGAAAGGTAAAAATTTTTTAATCATTCATTTTAACATTTGCAGAAACTTTCTTTTAACGCTTACTTTCTTTTAACGGATAAAATTAAAAATTCCGGAATAATACATTAAAATATTCAATGCTATTTATATGCAATATTCATTTGTTACATTTACATTTCAAATGCCAATCATTGTGTTCATTCCGGAATTGACATATACCAAATAAAAATGCATATTCTCATTCAATTAGCTTTAATTGAATATCAATTTTGCTTCAAAATTTGATACTAATTTTCACATTTTTAATATTTTACCATTTATTGAAATTTATGATCATGTTGTTTTAGCAAGTAAATTTTCATAAAATTGCAATGGAAATGTTAGATACGATGAAAGCATTCGGTGTTGAAATGGAAAAAAATGTATCGATGAGAAAAGTTCTCGAAGAATGTGATCAAAAATTAGAAAAGCTTAGTATAGGTAATTATGATACAATTTGCTAAATTTTCGCCAACTTTTACAGTATACTTCGATTTGTATTTTTACAGTATACCTTTTTACAGCCCACTCTTGATTTTTTTATAGTATACTTTGACTAAATTATCTTTTGATCAAATTTATTTACAAAATATTGTATTAGCAAAAATTAAACCTAACTTACCCATAAATGAATTTTAAAAAATGAAGCAAATTTATTGCATATTTATATTTCGATTAAATATTTTGCTTCTAATGGAGCCATATAATTCATATAATTTAAAAAAAAAAATCCAAAATGAATTATGCTACTTGCTCTAGTTTTAGCTTGTCATTTTGAAGTTTATATTTGTTTGAAAAATTATTTCTACAAACTAAAAATTTGAATTTTTGAGAGATTTCCACTTTATTTATCAAATCGTCTACGATGTTTTCCTTCACTGCCGCTATTTATTATTTGGTGTGACACTTTTTTTTGTTTTTTGGAATTTTTAATTCGATATGTAAAGCAAGTAAGGAAACAAAAATTATTTAATGTACAAATATGCAAAAGCGGAGATTTAAAACAAAATGAAATAGGAAAATACACCGCGAAACATCAAGGAATAACAGCAAAATTAAACTGTGCCACTAAAATCTGCAAAAAACGAAAAAGGAAGTTTATGGATATGAATCAAAGCATTTGGAAAGAGGTACAACAGAAAAAAAAAAGGATAGTGGTGGTATCCATACTTAGTATTTTAATTTTACAAATTGATTATAGAAGAATGTGATTTTCATGTTTTATCATTGTATGTTATGTGTTAATCTGTGAACACAACCTCCAGTTTTGATATGATTGTTTCGCAGATACATGGTATATGTGGTACCTGTTCGAAATAATTAATTACAACATTAGCAATTTTTTTAAGAAAAGAAAAGACTGCCCAGAATATTTGAATAATTCATCGACTAACAGTTTGGGGTTTCATAATCCAACAAGACTTCATAATTAGCAGAAATTGGATGAAAGTATTCCACTTGCATAAGTACAAATTTCCAGAAATGTGCAAATAACTTAGTCTCGTTATAATGCCAGTCTCATTATAAATTTCCAAAAAGTGTCAGCACGTTCAATTTGGTTACGCTTAGGAGAAGTCCGAAATATTCCACAACTTTTCGGATGTATCGAGTTCAATACTGGGAAAATCTGACGAGCATATTCGTAACACATAGTTTACCTAACTATCAATGATCTTTTTTTATTTCTCCTTTTGCAAACTAGTTTTGTTTTTACATTCATGTTATCTGAAATAAGCTGAAACATGAAACGTGACACCGATAGATCTTAAAATAAAACAAAATAAAGAAATGAAAATTATGAATCTCAACCAAAGATAAGGGGACTCGTCCTATATATGTATATATATTTCGAAATTTACTAATAAATTAATTTATAACTTAAAGACCAATTTAAGACCGATACTGCTACACCCATTACATAATTGCAAAAACTACTGTTTAAAATTGAAACATTGTGCTTTTTTGATACAATACAATTTTTCGCTAATGATATCTTTGTTGAATACAAAGATAAGCTATTGCACAATGAGGATCTGATATGTATATCAAAGGAATAAATACTATGGATTTTACATATAAATCATAATTTGAAAGGAGCATAAAGGACTCACCACATGAGAAGCTGACCTTGGATGAACATAATTGTCCCTGGATATAATCTTTTAAGAATATTATAGAAATAAATTCAGCACAAACGAAATTACAGACGTCAACAGTTATAACAAACGGAATGCTTTCATTTTTCCCAATTATGCCATATATGCAAAAAATTTATAATCATTGAATGTTCGCCACAGGATCAAGAATTCACCTTATGTTTTTGTGTCGGAATTAATGAGCTCACTTTTCCAAGTATTATAAAAAATTCGGGGATACTACAAGCGGGTAGGCAAAAGAGAGCAGTCATTTCACGCCAATTACTACAATAAGAACAACAATAACAAAAAAGAAGAGAATATAGAGTGGGAACGAGAGTAGAAAGCAAATCGAATCAAAAGCTAGAGGAAATGTTATTGTTGTTCTTTGTTGGACAAGAATCCAGAAAAGTTCTAAAGTGAAGTTGGCTTCATCGATGGATGATTGCCAGTTGCCTCCTGAAGCCTCAATTCAAGCTGCAGCCTAATCTGCGCTAATTTAGCCCGTTCTGCTTCCAAATGACTGTTTAACAATCGTAAGTGATCACATCGAACCTGCCAGTTCACCTGTCTGTCTGATGCTGTAGTACTTGTGGTTGCGCCACCACTGTTAGTACAACCGCCACTTGCGCTTGCATTGCTCTCCTCGGCTAATAATTCCTCGATACGTTTTTCTATAAAAAAAGTCTAAGCAACATTTTTGGAACTCTTCCCACACTCTAGCTTATTACTTTCGGCTATTAGTGAATTAACTTATATAGATTAAAACGAGTAAGTCCGCAGTAAACATTAAGATGCTCTGCAGATTCTAATTCATTGCTCATATTATCTAAAGCCAAAAGAAAAACGAAAGATTAGCTTGAAAAGAAAAAGATGCAAAATAATGATTAAATAGCTTACCCATATCAATATTGAGTTCGATGAGTTCGCGACCATCATTAAAGCTTCGCGATGAAATAACGTCTTCCGTTTGTATGCTAACATCAACAAATGTTGGTCGTGGTGGTAACGGTGGAGCAGGAGGATGCCGAAGTGAAGAACTGGGATCTATAAAACATTTTATAAAACAAGATTTGAGACATTGTTAATTTACTATTTTGTCTCAAAACCATGGTACGGATGTAAATCTGATCTAAACGCGAAGATCATAAAAGCTAGCATCCCTTCTCCTATCTGCTCGGTTCTGTAGGCAAAGACTTGCTGCTCCCAACGCTGACAATAAAAACATAATTGAAAAATTTTCCATAGATGAAAGGAGAAAAAAAAATTTAATAAAAACTTTTTCAAATCATTTCTTAATAAAGACCAATCTCTTCATTCAATAGCCAAGTACAAAAGAAAAAATAATTTTACGGGTAAGAGAAAATCAAGAATTTACGTAAACTATAATCGAATACTCATTGCACTGCCCATCAAAATATGTTCCTCAACAAGCTTACCTTGCCATTCTGTCGCTGCTGAAAAGCGCATGGTATCAGAAGCTACAGAATTGCATGGATGACGCAATGATCCTTGAGCAGGAAGAGTTGCGCCACGCTGCGATGTTTCTGTTGCCAACTTCAGTTTTAATCTATAAACAACCGAAAATGAGTCGAATAAAAATTCCAGAACTACATCGTCAGAATTTGAAAATATTGCAAAACACACCCAGGTGCTGCCACAGCGGAACTTTGAAAATTATTCAAGTCTAGGCTGGCACTGCGTCCATGTCCTTTGCTTACAGGCCTTGGAGGTGGCTTTGGCGGAGGTCCTTTGGGTGCTTGGGGGCTTAATGCAAAATTTGCGGCACCGTTAAACTGCACATTAGAAGACTCAGTTTCGTCCTTAATCGCGCAGGTTAGAGCTGAAATTCATCAAAAATTACCAGTTTCTGAACTGCCTATAGCCAGTGCCTTATACTTCTATTGAAGATAAGCTAATTCTAAACATATAAGAAATAAATCAGACTCAGACTACCAGTAATTATATCAAGGATGAAGATTATGCGCACTTCAATGATTAGAATCACCAGTTAAATCATACGTTGCGTAGCTTTTACTGCTGTAGGACGTACATCGACAAGAAGTGGAGGTACATCAGAAAAGGTGCTCAATCTTTCTGGAGAATCCTGTAAAAATCTCTGTGAACTATGAGGTAAGAATTCAAGAAAATCTTGAAGCTAAGAAGATATTTCTTCATTGAAGGCTTAAGAAAGCATCATCAACAAGTTGTTTTTAAGATAATGAATAAATTTCTGGCCTTTATGTACTTACGAATAAAAAGAAGTGAAGATGCGATAACTGAACTGTTATTAATGTAACAAAAATTTTCAAAAAGTCATGAACAGATTAAGACAAAGAATGAACTTGATTTTCCGGTTGAACATGAAGATGCTCATCACTGAAGGAATGATACTGCTGCGGATAATGTCCAAGTGTTACCCTTGTTACAGCGTCATCGTAATCGAACTGTTTCCAGTCCTGCATGATATTAGCTGCCCGTGTTTCTGTCCTTTGTCTCCTATTACCATCTTCTGTAATGATTCACAGATAAACAGACACATAGGACCAATTTTGTGCAGCTATATATATTGAATTGCATTAAAAGATCGATGCAAAAGAACGTTAGACATTCAAAAAAAAAAGGCAAAACTTGAAAATTGAATATTACGAACCAGCAGTCTGTTGTAGAACATCCCGACGTGGCATAATCGGAGGACTAATTTCAAATGGAATAACATCTGGAATAGGAATGTGCCCCTAAAAACAATCAGATGAATACCACAGTGTTTATAAAAAACGAGAGCAAAAAAAACCAATTCTAAAAACTTTTCATAAAACTTGATATATATTTTACGAAGATGCAAAATGTATAAGTGCAAGTAATGCTGAGGCAGAACAAGAAAAAAGGTTTCAGAAATTTTACGTAAGTCTAGAAGAATAATGCAACAGCTGAGTCCTATCGAGTTTAACTAGCTACCTTGATATGCAGAACAATAAGATGCATGGCGGCTGAGAATTCATTCAAATCCAAATACCCATCTTCGTTCACATCACTTAAGCTCCAAATTTTGGATAGCTTTTCACGATCTAAACCACTTCGCTTGAAAAACTCAACGACATGTTCGTTTGCGCCACAAACAGCACCGCTTATATCACTATACCCCTGCAAAAAAATTGCTTTTTTTTACTGAAAGGTCGCAAACTACACGAAATTCAATCAACGAATACACTGAATAAAGCAGTTTAACAGATAAGATCGTAAGTTTTTTCATAAAATGATATTACGAATAACAAAATCACTTTATTAGATCAGTGTTAAGTCTTTGGTAAAAGCGAATCACTTTTTGATCCATCACTAAAACACTGAACATATTCTAAAACAGCGAACTTAATCTCAAATCAGAAGATACTGAATGATACACTTACAGCAGTTTTTTTCATTAGATGATTGAAACACTTTGTATAGTAAGCCTTTTGTTCTTCGGACATTCCATATAATGAATCTGCTAATGATTCTGAGGAAGTTTTATCCTAGAAAATTTGTTCAATTCATTCCCTCCAAATAATACTATTATGGAAGGAAAGATGATGGATTCCGGTCAACTGACATTTAGACTTTATTTCAAGTTTCATAACTGAACGATAAAGCTTCAAAGTCCTTCAGCACTTTTTAATTTCTTCTTTCTTCTTTTAAAGTATTAAAGAATACGACAATCAAGAACCTGAATCGGTTTTGATGTCCGGCCCATATCACTACTCAGTGTTTTACTGTCTTCCAAATCAGATTCTTCTTCGTCTTCAATTACGTCTTCTAAAAGATTTTTCGTTTCCGTATCTGACATTCCTGAAAAATAAATAAGATTAGTTTTAAGGAAAATTTTAAACATCACATGATCGTACTGCCATAACAAAATTACATAGAATTCTTCAACCAAAAGAAATGTGATAGTTTAATGACTTTTGTCGACTTTTTTTGATTCTGCTATATATCTTGAGTTAGTAATCAGCAGATTAATCATAATAAATTAACTGTTAAGCAATCTCATCGTGTTATCTCTCTAGATTTAAAAATCTTAAAAATTACCACCAGCTTTATCGTTACTACCCTCATCGTCTGTATCACCATCGACTTCGTCCGAACCATCGCTTGTTTCCTCGTCTGAATTATTCAGAGCTTTCCATTTAATGCCGGGAGATGTTCCCTAGAACGATATTTAAGGAATGTAAATTGAATAAGGGTTCACAATTTCCTAATGACTGTGTCTTCGAAAAATTAAAAACCTTTTCTCTATTGATTACTGCGACTGATTTAATAATACATGCTTCGCATTACCTTCCATTTCAATATCCTACAAAATTACTTGAAAACTATGTCTCATTGTTTTACCTGTGACGGAGCAGTGCCTCCACTAAATACAACTTCAGCTTTATCCGACAAATAATCATCCGAAGAGCTTGCAAATTCTTCTTTGGCATTGTCACTGAAAAATAGATTTCGTTTTTTCCTTCATTCGTGGATATATTTTAACGCAGAACCAAACAAAAAATATAAGACCTAGTTTCGAAAGGGTTTGTCCTTTCAGCATGAGTTGCGGAGGACGATAGGTTCTGACTGAATAATATTCGTCGTGATTCGTTTTGAAGCAAGCTGATCGACATCGTATCAGGAAAGTTACCAACTGATGTATGTCTCCTTTCCTGAAAAATCAAACACTTTGCTGCTAACAAAAGCGATTCTTGATTAAAAATATGATAGCTTGTAATACCCCTTCATGCTGATAAGATGAGAAACCAGACTTCCTGAGTAACAGCTTTCCTCCCCATCCAAACATTTTTTGAAGGAATCTTATTGTGACTTATAGGAATCCAGGCAAAAGCATGAAAGAATATTGCATTCTTTCGATAGTCGAAAAGCTTGCAGAAAATCAACCATTTCATCTGTGCTTTGGTTTTCTTTCCCCGTAGTAATATTTCATGGTACACGTGCTGGGATAATCACCAGGTTAACAGAGATTTCTTTAAAGGGGTAATTAACATAGGAGTTAGCAGATCAAAAATAGATGCCGACTAATCAGCTAAGCAATGAACTACAGGAAAAAACAAACAACATACCAAGGAAGTGGACAAAGTTTCGGAAACTACCGACTGGGTATCAACTTTCCATGGTGTATGTACTGGTGAAGTAACCGTAACAACTGTTGGATTCTTATGTACAACCGTTTCCGTCATCGCCAAGTTTTTCTCTAAATTTATTATATTAAGTTACCTCATTATAACATGGTCATTTTTCCAGTCGTGCTTATTGTTTAGTTGAAATAAAATCAGATATTCAAAATACTTAGTAACACATAACTATAATTGAAAAACTGGAAAATTGAAAGAAGACAACTGGAAAAAAGATTGTCATATAATGCAGCATTCAGTATGTGTTACTAAATGTTTTGTAATAGTATGTGAGATTTAGAAAGTGCTTGTGATGAATTTCAAGAGACTTCCATAAAAATTTCCTCACAAAACGAATGAATTTCATGATGGTCCGTTCACATTAACCGTTACAATAGATTAAAAAAAAAGAAAAAAAAGAAAAACTAGTTCAATCAATCATTTCTGTGCAATTTGCCATTGTTACCAAGGCAGTAGTGCCAATAACATTGCCTTCCCTACTATTTAATTCCTGAAATTCTAATTTCGAAACCTTATTCTAAATATAATATTAGCTGACAATAGCGTAGAGGAAAATACCTTGCTTTAACCTAATGCAAATCATTGTTAACATCGAATTTAGATCACGGATGTTAAATAATCGAAATAATGCACATCGTTGTTTCAAAAAATCTAAAATCTAAAATTTCACCATATACGAAACACTAAAATTTCAAGCATATATTATAGAACTACCAAATATGCTAGACAGTTTGAATAGAACTTAAAATAGAGATGATAAGAGCTTTAATTAATATTGCAAACATATCTGCAATACGTAAATGCAAAGTTTCCATGGAACGGCGTAATTATTTTGAATTTTGAGTGAATTTGAATGCTGGTTGTTGTGGATTTAAAAAAAAATTTTTTTTATATGTAGGATCGATACCACTAGCTAAATAAACAGCCAACAAATTTTTGCCAAAGAATCGCTAATTCCATGCAATTTTTTTTACCCCATAACAAAACTCTTGCGGCTCGTTAAATTCTGCTCTCAGTTGTTTTTTCTACTGTTGGAAATTTCGAAATTTCAACGATTAGGTAGTAAAGTTGATAAATTCAAGCAAATATTTTAGCAGTATATGCAAATAAAGGGAATGATAATAAAATGATTAAACGAACCAGAGACAAAATATTATCATTACTTCTACACTCTTTCATCATTTCTCAAAACACCTAAAACTATGCTATTTTGCTAACTTCATATTCTCCTTTTTCGTTATCACTGTGTTATTCGTATTTTCTCTCACGTATTGTTGCTCTCTCAAATATTAGGTGTATTTTTTAACTTTCATAGTGTATCATTTCTGGAACATGATATTTCGCAAATTTTTAGTAATTGCTATCGTCTCCGCATATCAGATATTATTTCTTTGGTTTTTAATATTCAATTTATAGTTATGGTTATTTTTTTATTTACCAACTCTTTAAGAACTATCACTTCCTGATAACTTTGCTTTCTTTTTGAACCACCACTTTCTAGCAGTTTAATTTTTTATGAAACCACCACTAAATTGCGCCGATAAAATCGGACGGATACTATTTTTTAGTAGGCTATTATTTAGACATAATATCTCGTTTCTTTTCAGAACATTATTTTTATTATTTTCATTCTTTAACAGTATCATTAGAAAATCCAAATTTTATTATCAATCGTTTTAAATAATCGCTAGCAATTCGGTAAAAATTAAGACAATGATCTGCACTTATTGTATGATAATTATACGCATTGTCCGGTTTTGTAAGTGTTAATCGCGATGATGGTAAGTGATACTGATAATGGTTATGTTTATAATCAGCAATTGTTCCATTAATTCTGTAGGTTATGCTGATGAGGCCTTGATAAAGGCCTTGCTTCTCCAAGAAACAGTTGAAAATGGATGTTCTGGAGGAGAAAATTAAGGAAGCTGAATGTTTCCGTGACGGCTTTTATCAGCATTTTCCGAAATCCACATTGGAAGAGAAAAAGCAAGCCGTTCGTGAAAAGGTCCTACCATTAATTCAGGTAGAATTACAATTTCACATATACTTCCTTATATCATAATAGCACAGTGTTATCTTTTGTTTATCCATGACAGCATCCTTAAGTTACTTTTTGTCATTTCAGTAACGTATTACTTCAGTTATGGTTTGATTCCAGTATCTTAATCCTTTTATTAACAAAATTCAATCACTTAGATGATTTCGATCATTCCAATGACTTGATTATTTCCATAATTTGTTTGCCCTATCAATTCCATGGTTATTTTAATCGTTTCTATTACTTAAAAAATTTAACGACTTCAATAATTTAATCATTTCTACATCTAAATTATTTTGGTAATCTGTGAAAAGATTTCAATGGCAGTTTATCATTTCATTAATTTCTATCATGCCTATGGATTTCCTTTTAGCATTTCAATCATTTCGACAATTTCTATAATTATAATAATCCAACCATTTCAATGAATTTAATCTTTTCTGTCACCAAAGATTGTCCATTTACGTTCCAGCGTTCTGGGAAAATAAATGATATTCAAAAATTGCGAATTAACGACTTAATTTCAAAATATTATTTGTTTTTCCAAGGAATCTGGATATGGCGATATGTCGACGTCAGTGAAATATAATGATGATGTTTCAAGATCCTACAAATTACCATCGTTGATTTTAGTTAAATTTATCTATTTATTTTACGGTGATAATGATAGCAATAACACCATTGTCATTAATTAGTTTTTGTTTTTTTTCCTTTTTTTTTCGGGCATCGTTTGTTTTTGCAGGATATTCCGTTGGATATGAATGCACATTCATCGACATCTGCACGATATAATTACATTTGTGGGCGAATTTTAAACATCTGTTTGGATTATGATGCAAATTGTGAAAGACATCTGTCACGTGCTGTAAAGTTGGATCCTTCATTGAGTGATGCGTGGTATGAACTTGGCGAATGTGTCCGGAAGAAAGAAGATTTCACGACAGCTGTGGATTGTTTTCGCGTAAGCATAATTCTAATTTGTGCAAATATGCTGCGTAATGTGCTTCACTTGAAAATTTTTATTCTGTTTACCCAGTTCATGTTTTCAGCTTATTTTCCAATATTATTTATTTTTCTGTTTATTTTCTATTCATTTCCAGAAATCAGCAGCTCTCAAGCGAAGTGGGAAATGTCTTGCCTCACTTGCAATAGCACTTCGACAAATTGCCCTGTCCACAACGGAAGCAAAAATCCAGCAATCATTGCAAGAAGAAGCTGCTCAATTGTCTGGTGAAGCAGTTGAGCTCGATCCATACTCTGAGAAAGCATGGCATACATTAGGGAATTCATGTTTGATGCAGTTCTTCTTCAAGTACCAAGCAGATATGGAACTTATGGTTTGTTTCGTACTTCAGAGCTTTTTTCGTCCTCCACTTTTATTGTTAAAATAAATGGCAATCATTTTCAAGAAGGCGAGAAGTCTCAATTTTTGCCTTTTATTCGCTCATTTATTTTCTCTCTTTCTTCCTCATAAGCATGACTATATATTAAAATGATTTTTCTTTTTCTTACTTAAGTAGCATTTGATTAAAAAGAGTAGGTTAACGTTAACGTCATGTGGTCTTATCCAGTATACTACTAGCTGTGTTATATGATCGTTTATGCATTCATTTATAAATAAGTTAAAGTGCTAAATCAAATTGGCATTTTAAACTGGCTGACATTTTGTTACAGTTTTTAAGGACATTTTAGGTAAGCAAATCAGTAACGTATGTTTTTGTTCATATCTGAATTCCATTTCAATCTCTTTCATTTTCAATTCATTTATAGAACAAAGCTCGAGAAGCCTATGAAACAGCGCTGCAACTTGGTGATGTACGTTATAGTCCGGATTTGCATCTCAATTACTCAACTGCTCTCAAATTTGTCCAGAATTATGGAGAGTGTTTGAAGCATTTAAAAATTGCAACTATTTACGATCCGGGATTTTTGGAAGCAAAAGAACGACAAGAAATACTGCTATCATTCTTGAAACAAGTTAACGGTCACGTGCAGAAAAAGGGTAATCGTATAAATCTTTAATTAGAGTAGTCGAAATTATTCGATAGTTCAAATTATTCAGGGATTTAATTTCCCTGGCCATAGGAAACAATCGAGTAATTTGTATTATATAAGCATATGTGAGCTACAACAATTCTAACTCTCTTATGTGTCTATTTTTTTCAGTTATGGATCATTTCAGGTAAATTGACTACTAAAAAAATGCGACATTTCAAATCTTCGATATCTGATGAAGATTTTGGAGTGTATTGTAAAAAACCATTCAAGAAGGAGAGCGGTAAAATAGAAATTCTTAGAACAGTTTTGTTTCGGGAGTTAAATGAAGGAATTAACGGTGATGTTGTGATTTGTGGCAAAGTTATTGCAATCATCCTTAATACAGAAGTTATTCCATAGTAAGATTTTCTTTCTCATCTTTCATTCTTTTTTAAAAACTTATTTGTAACGTTAAGTGAGATTTTCATTTTTTTTGAAAGTCAAGTGCTCATTACTCATTCTCTCATTTTCATCAGAAAAGGAAGATTCGTTGAAATAGCTCGGCAATTTTCCTATTAACTTTGGATATACAGCAAAGGCATGTGTATGTAGCTGTAACTTTTGGATCGTAAAATAGCACTCTAAACCGGTTGAACTCGAAAGATAGATGAAATAGACGTGTGTTTCCGTTTGAATATGTAGTATAGTTTAGTTTAGAAGGATAGAGAGAACACCGTAGTAGCACTGTAGTCCATTACTGTATGATATGAACGAAAATAAAAGGTGATTAAATTAATAAAAAATATAGGTCGAGTAACTTATGTCGATTTTGATTTCAGCACATTTGTTGGTTGTGACAAAGAAGGATCTTGCTGTGCTTTTTCTGTGTATAATGCATCGGACAAATTTGGATTGATTATCGGTGATTCGATAGCTGTACCCGAACCTCACATTATCGATGTCAAGGTAATATTATAAATATTACGCAAATGTTTGACGAATGTTTTTATATTTGAAATATTCTGCTAGGAGGCATGCATCATCGTTTTCGGTGTGCAGTCATCGAGAATTTATCAACTTGATGACTGGACATTCAGATTAGTGATGGAATTTTTTTTCATAGCTAGAAACAATAAACGAAGAATCATACATTCCTATTATTGAATGCTAGAATTAATGAACTCCTTTTCTAGATTACATCTGAAGAAAGTGGATGCGAAAATTTTGACTTTCGGATTGTTCGCATCGTTAATCCGTTGAAGATGCTTAGAAATGGTAAACCAGTGAAGATGGACTGTGTGGCATTTTGTAAGGTGGTTGCTGATTTTGTTTATTAGTTTTATTCTATTTTACTTTTTTTTTCTTTTTTTTAAGGAATTTGTTCGTGGTTTACGTTACATGATAGTTTGAAATGGTTTAGACTTGTAATATGATTTCTGTGTTCCAATTTGGGTTTTCCATCGGAATTAAAAAAAATTCACTTCATGTTAGGTTACAATTTTACATTCACTGTACTGTTTAATTAATTTTGGTCTTCAAAGGAATTTGTATCTTTCTATACTCAATATTTTGAAGTTTTGTTGCTTAAAGAGGACTTAATTCTGTTTTGGAGGTGAGTCGCAAGTCTCGAACACAGTTCGAGTTTTAAATCAAATTTTTGTTATCAGTTATTTCCTTCACATTTTATGTTTTGCCTAGTCAGTGATATATTATTCGCCTTATGTGAGTACTTTTATGTTCTTCACAGATGCATTTGTAACTTTGTATTCACTTCTGACAAAATTCATTTTCAACTGCTGGTATTATAAAGTGCGTTGTAGTATAAGATGTACTTAACTTATCATCATATCAATAAAATTTACATTAATTATCTCTTCTCAGATGTCCAAAAAAATTAATTTGATTTTTTCACAGGGAGGTTTTTTCACAGTTTTTCACAGATGGTTTTTTGAAAAAAGCAATTAAATTTTCTTAAATTTATTAAGCAAGGAAGTGTCTGAAATTCCATGATAATTAGGAAGCATTTGAAATATATAATAAAATTCATATAGGGACTAATTTATATTATGAATTTCATCTAATAGTCACATTTAAATCCTTACCTTTATTTAACGGCTGGGATAAAAATTGTACAAGTCAAGTTTCCTAGCAGTAATTCAAAAATATTTCATGGTGAAATTTAATGGTGATTTCATGATGTATTGTGCATGATGAAGTTCAGTTTGAAATTATACTTTCTGTGATTGAATCATTAAATATCGGACATTTTCCATGTGTGTGACAACTTTTATCTTTATTACCAAAATTTTTTGATCTCGGCTATCATATAAAAATTTTGAGAAAAAAAAGCATTAAATTTGAAACTTTATTTATTCTTTGATACTATTAAGGTGTGCTTGTATTCGTTTCAACTTTTTCATTGCCATAATTCCTTATCAATCTTTTCGGAAAATTGGTATTGTCCTTGTTTGGCCCTGGCTTTTCTCTTTCTTCGGTGTTTGTACCGTCAATTTACCATCTTTTGTTAATTCGCTGGTTACTAACTCAGGTTTTGTATCTTTTGGTAGCGTTAGACGACGAGTAAATTGACGTTCAATCTAAAAATTCATTGGTATTGTACTTAAAATAAATTTAAATTTTGAGATATAGAGAGACAAATTTTCCGATACGATCATATGATGTTTGAAAATTACTGTCTAAAAAAGAAGAATCAGTTCAAACAATTTTAAAATTAAGAAATACAAAAAATAAAAACATGACAAAAATTATAGAAAAAATTAAGAAAAAAAAATTCTTAAATATTTCACAAATGTTAATCATCTCACAGTTATCTCCGAATATATGTTCTTAAGGAGGTTAATAGAAATAATTAGTTTCAATTTCAATTTTAGTTAATGGGAATAATTAATTTCAATGCTATTTTTAAACTTAATTTGTTACATTGTATACTTAACATTTGCAATACATCCTTTATGACTATGTCAAATATTGCATAGAAATCTATGCTTTAACAAGATTTACTTTTGTCGTTCTAAATAATTTCATTAATTACTTTTAACTTAATTGCAATCACAGATTAAATTAGGATTGTTCAAAAAATCCTTAAAAAGTTATGAAAAAGAGCAAAAAATGTGCTAACTTCTCCATACTGATCTTTGATCATTGGATGTTTACCTTCAATGATAACCACTCCATCAGTTATGGTAACTTTCAAATCTTCGGGTGCAAATTGCGATACATCGATGGTTACCGAGAAGTGTTCATCATTATCAGTTATCTCAAACATTAAATTAGGACTGATAAGGCAATTGATAAAAGATATATTATTGGTTTAGTTAAGAGAAACGGTTTACGGTTTAATCCATAGTGTTAGCTTATCAATCGGAAAAAGAACTTATTAAAAATATGGATTAAGTGAAATTTTTCAATGAAATCAGATATTTTACCAAGTACTAATAATCAAATCAATATGATCTCTGATTAACATTTTTTTTTCGTTTTTCTTTTAAATCACAATATTCGAATGAATATTAAATTTAAATTTATTAAATTATGATTCATTATATAGATTAGTAAATAATACCTCTCCAACACCTGCACCTAATTTATGAGAATCCTCCAATTGATAATCTATCCAATAGGGTCGTTGAAAGAGTGGTCGTTCTATGTCGAAATCACGGAATTCATCAAAAATCGGTTGAAACGTGGTGAAAATGATGAAATCAATGAGCGTCGAGCCATTTCCTTTGGATTTTATCTAAGAAAAAGAAGTGATCAAAGTAACAGAAGGCTTAATTAGATGTTAATAATATATATATGCAAAATTATGGAAATAAATTTTTATTCATTTACTTGGATTTCATATTATCATTTTATCAATTCGTTCAATTACTCATGAAGTTAGTCGTTAATCAAATTTAATAATATCAAATTATGCAACATTTAAATTTTTCCAATTTTTCAAAAATAAATCAATTTTAAAATTGATAATGAAAAACTATTTGTTAAATTAAAAATATTTGTTAAAATTAAAAAACTGTTTGCAAAAAATTTTAAATAATCGTTCCATACATTTATTGAAAAATACCGTTTAATTTTAATAATTCTTATCACTAACTTTATGTTATTTGTTTTGAAATATTGTTTCAAAGCTTTTTCATATAATAATTTTGAAATAAATTTTATGATTAGTTCATTTAATGTTAATATTATTGTTTTAAGCATTTCTTTTTAGGTAAAAAAAAAAAACAAAATAAACGATTTTTTCAATGAAAATAATTACAAGTCTTTTAAAGTTACTCATGTTTCATTTCAATCCATTATAGTATTCATTTGTTAATATTAATTAATACATTTTACAAGATTTTTTTTTAACTTTTAATTTATAATCTTGTTGTTGCAGAGGAAACTATCGTAGTACGAGAGATTAATAACATATATGATGAACGGATGAATGATAAACTTCACAGTACAGTAGTAATCACAATAGTACAGTAATCATTTCCCTATCTATCTATATATGCAGGAAACCAAATTAATTTACTATTGGTAATCCACGATACTTTATATAAATTGGCCAGAATTACTGCACAATGAATGAATTACACAGTATACAGTGTATTGTAACCATTCCCTTGGTATTCTGTGTCTCTTATCAATATATGGTTAGTTTCCTGCAAATAACCTCCAATACCTTATGCAATTTATTAACAGTATTACATATTGGATAGGTCATACACAGTACAGTAATACAGGATACAGTAATCAACAGTACACATTATAGTGCAACAATTAATATTCAGTTTTTTAATATTCTGTATCCCTTATTTATCCATATATAATTGATTTCATCCAGGTAATCTACAACATAAATTTACTAAATGTATTACATAATGAACGAACAATACAGTACACAGTACAGTAGTCATTATTCAATTTCTTGGTATTTTGTATCCGTTATTCACCTATGTATAATTAATTTCTTCAAGTTAATCTAACAACTTTATACAAACTAACCTAAAGTTACAATGGAAGAAATGAAATAAAAAAATAAATTTGTTTGGTAAAATGGGAGAAGTTTTTAAATGGTATGATAAAAGTCATTTGCATCATGATATAAAGGTAAGAAATGAAAATGAAATTTAAAAAAAAAGGGAAACTGGTTTTTAAAACAGAAATAACAGGCTTGTCGATGATGTTAATTGATGCATTTCAATAGTTCAATTTTTTACTCTTTTTTTTTGAAATGAATTGGCAAATTTATTGAAAATTTTTACCCAACTAATTGGATGAATCATTCATAACATGAAAGAATGTATTGCTTATTTTACTTCAAAAATTAGTCACTCAGTATTTTTTCCCTTTTTTCCGGTTGATTGATTAGAATTTCAAATGGAAAAAGAAAAAGGAAGCATTTTGATTAACTGAATAAGAAGAAATGGAAAAGAGGATTTTAATTTTAAATGAATATTCGAATGTTTTCCTCTTTTTTTGATAAAAAAATTCTTTCAGAATTTTTGGAATAATTTTACTTATGAAATGAACAAATGAAATATTTTATTTTCATAGGCTATCATTTAAAGAAATTTCTAAATTTTTGTAATAATTTATTTATAATTTCTTTTTCTAGCATAAAATTATAGTAGAATTAAGTCATTTTTGTACCATTCAACCACTTAATACAATAAAATTAAATTATTTCCCATTAATATGATTAAATGAATATAATTAAATTATTTCTAAATGAATATGATCGAATTATTTCCCATCAATATGATTAAATGAATATAATTAAATTATTTCAAAATGAATACGATCAAATTATTTCCCATTAATGTGATTGAAATTAATAAATTCCATAAAAAATAACATGTACAATTCTTCGATTTTTTTTTTCTAAAAGTTGCATAAATGCATTTGCTATGCAAAAATGAATGTAATAAAGAAATGTTTGCAGAAATTTTTCAATTGTATAAGAATTCAATTAGCTAACTTTTACCTATTCAGATATTTAATATTTTAGAAATGAATTGGTGGATTAAAATTGATAAGAAAAACGTATGGATATATCAAAAAAAAAAATCATTTTCTATTCAAATATGAATTCTAATATACTTAACCATATGTGTAGATTTTCTTTTATCCTTTGGGCAGAAAAAACTAGTATTTTATTTGAATTTATAAGATTGAATTTAATTAAAAATAAATTTTGAAACTGGCAACATAAGCTTATCTTCGAATATTTTGCTGAAAAGGAAATGAAAAGAGAGAGAAAAGGAAGACAATGGTTAAATAATGGAATTCATTCGGGAAGAAAGGGTAAAGGTTAACAGTATGTTGAAAGTTTTTAAATCAAACAAAAATATAATCGAATGGGATTGTCAATTTAAATTACCAATTCAAACAAACATTCATTCACCAAAAATGTAAAAAAAAACCTTTCTATTTTGAGTCAATGTATTCATTTTCTCTTTGTTTAATTTTTAAATTAGGAAATATTTAATTATTTAATGCTCAGATAGGTTTAAATTTGTTGCTTGAGTAATTAGTATTTAAATATGTTTAGACAATTGTTCAGGTAATTAATGCTTAGATAGACTTAGTTTTATTTAAATGATAATTTTATCAGGAGAAAAAGTTTACGGGACATTAAAGCATTAATTATTTATTCTAATTTATTCTAATCCATTTTCTTAGCATTGCTATAAGCGACGAAACTTTATTTATTTAATTCTTTTCTTGAAAAGCAAGATAAAACGAAGAAAACCGAAGAATACTGACATCAATAAAATAGGTATGCTTACCAATCACTTTTAAAGATCAACAAATTTTTAGCAAAAAATAGATTTCATTTAAAATTTAATGATTTCCACCGCTGTTATAGCAAAAATTGAGCATATAACAGGCAATGATAATACGAATACTAATTATTATTATCATCATTATCATTATTATCATAATTATTATCATTGTTATTACTATTATTATTATTATTGTTATTATTATTATTATTATTATTGTTATTATTATTATTGTTATTATTATTATTATTATTATTATTATTATTATTATTATTATTATTATTATTATTATTTTATTATTATTATTATTATTATTATTATTATTATTATTATTATTATTATTATTATTATTATTATTATTATTATTATTATTATTATTATTATTATTATTATTATTATTATTA